TGGGCCAAGGGATCGCCCGCAGCTGACCACCGCCAGCTGGGTCGGTGAGTGAAATGGGACACAGACAGGCGAAAGCGGAAGGGAACTGCAGTCAACTCATTCGGAAAACAAATGGCTATGGAAAGATTTTGCATTACATTAATAACTATGAGGAGGCTTTTGCTGAGCTGGACACAGGTGCAGGGACGGATGAATACCAAATGAATCTTTCACAGAATATACTGGAAGCAAAATGATTTCAACACGTGCTGCAACCGATGAAAAAATGTCTCGACGACACGGCATGTCTGCGACGTTTAAATCATTGACTAAATTGAAAACAAAGGGATGGCCAGAAATACTCTTTGGCTTCCTATATGTTTGGAAAGACAGCAGATTTATAAAAAGAAATGGCAGCCAAGGGAGAGGGATGCCAGGCGGGCAAAGGCATCGGGAAAGGCTGCTGACGGAGGCGCGAAGAGGAAACGAGACTGGATTCTGCTGCGCCTGAATGGTGTCTGTCGAGGGGCTGCTGGCAACAGGATCGCTGGCATACACACGGCTATGTGCATCACACATACACGCACATGTGCATATACATACATATATATATATATATATATATATATATATATATATATATATATAATGTGCATAATACATACACACACACACACATACATGTATATATATACATGTGCACGCGCGCGTGTGTTTATATGTGGATAAATGTGTGTGTGTCTGCGCGCGCGCTTGTGTGCACACACACATATAATTATTCAATATTTCGAGCGCCTGCTGGAAAGGAGGCTGCCTGCCCTTCCGCTGTCCATTTGCCACATCTGAAAATTCGGCCATTTTCATTTGCGAGGTTGAAGATCTGTTGAGCACTCAAATGCAGCTCGCTCTCCCTTTGAGTGCGGCGCCCACGTCATGGAATGGAGCCGAGGAGTGAACGATGCCTCGGCCGCCCGACGGAGGCCACGCACATTTCACGGGCGATTCGGGAAACGGCCGGAGGCTCCCGGGGTTCATCGGAGCGGAATGATGCAACAAAAATCATTTAATGATATAAGCTTTTTCGATGCATTGATCTCATTAGGATTAAACAGTATTGCCTGATAAGTCACTACTGTTGTGCATGAAAAATCAACTCGTCGTGTTCCGTGACCCTCTATCAGAACGATGTGCCTCCTGGTGGTGCAAAAGGAAACAAGGAAAGGAAAATCGCCTTTCTGATCAAAGAGTTGACCGGAAATCGTTGGTACTATTTTGAGTTAATGGCATTCTGGTGCGGAGGGGCGCCAGGCAGTCTGCTTATCGAAAGGACAAAGACCACATCCGCCGAGTTATTTGAATCGTCACTAATTTCAAGTGTTCTGTTGCTAACACACTGCTTCTTTCTTGTCATCTAATTTTGCTGTTATTTGCAATAAATCCATTAGATTATATCTTAATTTGTTCATTATTTTTACTTTATTTGCATACACAATTTCGTAACTTTCCCAAAAGAAATAGTGATACACAGACACATACAGATGCACACACACAAGCACAAACATATACATATACACATATACTTACTGCAGCGTTTCGAACTCGTTCAGCGCCAAACAAATAACCGAAGTGGATCCATTTCGGTTTTTGTTCACCTAATGAGGAGCTTTGATAAGGTCGAAATTAGATTTCAATTTCATTTCTCGTTATGGCTGTTTCCTTTTTATCCTTGTGACTCATTACTGTTTTAATTGTGTTCAGGAGCTTACAAATTCACATGCAAACACACACACACACACACACACACACACACACACACACACACACACACACACACACACACACACACACACACACACACATATATATATATATATATATATATATATATATATATATATATATATATATATACACATATATATACGCATACATA